TATTCACTAGCCATAATTAATCAATTTAGCTCATGCAATTGTGCAAGGCTCCAAACTTTTCCGTAACACTTATACATAGCATTCAATTTTCTAATATCAGTCAAGCTCAATTGCAGTCGAGTTCCGATTAACTTCTCGTAGCCCTTGATCAACGGCACAATGGTCGGTTTGTCATTCTTGGAGAATGCATTTGACTTGTAGTGCATGATGCTGCCGTAGTCATATTCCTCGCCGAAATTGTCCACTGTGTCTTTGTTGTACTTGTGGAAATTGTATTCCAGGCCCTTTTTTACGTTCTCAAGGTGTATTCGAACGTATTCATCACGATTCCAAGTACATTGCTGATGGTGAAAACCCAAGGAATGCAGAACCTCATGCACAATGATGCCCAGACTGAAACAATCATTTTTCATCAAATTGAGCTCTTGTGGACGGCCTAGGTAGCCCACTTCGGCGAAACAGCCCACTTTGTCCGAGGTGATATTCAAATAGCCAGGCTGATCGCGCGTGGCTTCCTTGAAGACGACACAAGAAACCGACTCGATAGTGCGAAACGCTTGCTGAATGAGATTACGTTGCTCCTGATCTAGATTAGGGAACACAAATAACAAGACAATTCAAAAACTTGAAAATAAAACTCACCTATATCGCTATTGAAATAATAGTACACAGTGCCATTGGGCCAGCGATAAGTTTCACTGATCAATCCATTTCTGTCCTTGCTCAGAATCATATCGCCTTCGGTGTATCCAGCTATAAGCATGGGATCGGTTTCAACACGCTCTGAAGAGGCTGCGGGTGCTGCATAGCAGCTCTTCATCAACACCAGGATTAAAAATATTTTAGTAAAGCCCCACATGTTGTCAACTGGATGCATTAGTAGCGACTGTTTCGATGTTTTCCGTACGCTTTTATATGTACGCCGAGAACATCAATTCACTTTGAAAATATAATGGCATTGACTTATCTAAAATTAAAGTAATATATTATATATTTTATTTCAGTTTATAATAACTTCACCTTTATCATCATATAAAAGAATTTTTCTAATTTCAATATATGTATAAATTTCTATATCCATATACAAAATTAGCTCACGTTAATCTAAATATTTTGCTATACTTCAAACAATTAAAGCCGGTATTTTTTTCTATTTTAATTTCTGCGAGGGTTTCTTATCTATGTCGTAACTGTATGTTATATTTATGGCATAATTTTAGCAAGCTTTTTTCTTTAAATTGGATATATTAGTAAAAGGCAATTGACTTACACTTGATAATATTGTGAAATTACATTTTTGGTATCTCAAACTTGAAAATTAGTGAATATCTTATAAGTGTATGATATTATAACTGTCTAAAACTCATAGTTGCATAAATGACCAAAGATTGCTCACTTGCTTTATAAGCATTATATTGTTAATCTAGATACACGCTCAAGTACATCCACTAAGTATCAACGACTTATTTAAATTTACTTTTTATTCCTTTATATTTATATTTGCTCCAATTAAATTTAATATTTCTCATCTCATGCTTTTCATGCTACCTACTGCCGCATCAAATCTTGAAGCCTCCCGTAAATAAGATTCGATTGCAATGGGTAACTTGAACTCTTATGAACCTTTTTTGACTGGAGATAAGTCTTTTGTTTAAGCCTTGACTTGCGTCAACTCTTGTCTAGTCTGCTTTTCGAACGCTAGGTGTCGCTTTGATGCTGTTGTGAAACGCTTTGGTGTCGCTGCCGGCAGTGTGAGATTGAAAACTTAGCAAGCTGCTGCTTCCTAATTGATGTATTGTCAGCAGCCTCCGCACAGCATGTCCGTGTCCTGTTTGCCAGCCAGGCAGCAGCAGCAACAATGACAACATCCATTCGACTATCAGGCCACTGATGCTACCACTACGACTACTACGACTACTTCTTGTGGAGGACTCTGTCATTTGGGAACATTCATTTTGACTTTCATGCGCTTGTCAACTGATGATGGCTAAGAGTGTTTTGTTTTTGGTCACTTCATCGTACTTGCCAGCCCCATCATCGTCTCATTGCAGTTGTTGTTGTTGCTGTTGCTGTTGCTGTTGCTGTTGCAAACTGTTTTTATGGCCGTGTCATCGTTGCCAAAGAAATTCGATGCACTTGCTTTGGCATATCAATGCGACCAGCTCCTGCTCCTGCTCCTGCTCCGGCTGTTCCACAAACGCTAAGCAGGCCAAACTAATTACCGTGCATAATAAATCAGAGCTGTCATAGTTTGCCATTAGCTTGACAGCAAATGTCCGAGGCACAGGTCCTGCTTGCTTATTGGCTGCATTTATGCAAATTGCCACAGCACTGAGAGCGTTGAGCCAAAGTATTGGACCTGAACATGCTATGGCTATAGACTTTTGCATTATTAATTGCGATTCGTTAGCATTTTCCGAGAATTTGCAACAGCTCTAACCTAATAAGCGACACCCAAAGCATACAACATGATTGCTTGACATATATATATAGTGAAAGCTGACGTGGGTGGACACCGAATGTTTCACTAATAAGATAAGACTATAATGTGGAGCACTACTTAAGTAGTCAACTAGATTGTACTATATACGAAATTCGACATGCATTCGATGCAGCTGTCCGTTAAGGGAGCTTTCACTGTATCGCACCAACTTCGATTGCTACTTCTCCCCCAAGTAAGTTCGTATTTCTATGCAAAATTAATTGATTTCCTTTAAAAAGGCAACAACTGACATATTTTTCTAATAGTGGGGTAATTTATAATGGTGGAGTGCGGCAAAAGCTTTTAAAAATAAGGCTGTCCTGATGATTGAGCCAAATTGCAACAAATTGTCAGGCAATTAGTTGCAATTGGAACATGACTAGAAGTTCTTTAATGAATACTTCACTTATGGCTTTCCATTGCAACAACAACAACAATTTCGACAATTTTATTTCGTGCCCATTTCTGGGTAATAACAAAATGAATAATTTTGCTGCTCTCAATAAAGCAAAAATGATTGATTCCTGTGTAAGAATAGTACAAAGTACAAAGATCAAATAGAGATTCGATTTTGATGAACTTTTGAACCCACCTCAACTGCCTGAAAAAGTTAACCTTCTTGCGCACCTCGGGTATATTGTGCATGTGATCATCTAGAAATTTGTAATAGGTGCCCGTGATCGGATCAAAGTCGTTCTTCGGCAAACGATTCCACATAAAGTCTGGCGTTTCCCCTTTGGGCTTCAGTGGCTTGCAGCGCGAGGGATAAGGCTGGGTATACTCACGCATATAGCCAGACTTCATGGGCTGCACTAGTTCCTCTTCCTGGTCCACGGGCCCATAGCGAGGACTGTGGCAGTTATCTGGGTGAGCTATGAGAGGACTACAATTACCTAAAGCCACTCACTCTTCCATGTTGAACGACTGGAAGTTGACCAGCTTGTGATCGGTGGTGCAGAGTGTGCGCTGTGGCCGAGAGCCCTCCTCCATCATGATTTGTGTGGTTGTCTTCATCAGGGAGCTATCGTAGTGTGGCTCCCACAGCATCGTCTTCTTCTTGGAGGCCATGCTCGCAACGCAAGGAGCAAACGTGAACTATTGAATTATGTGTTTTGAATCTGGAATATAGAATCCTTAAATAAGTCAGCACTTGTATAATTTTTCAATTTTCATTTGACAGCAGACGTAGAGTGAAATTGAATATGAAACGTAATAGAAATAGACTGGGTAAAAATACATGAGAAATTGGACATTTTAAGAGAACCCGATAGTCCATTATTTCCTTTGGCGGGCCAGTACTAAAAATATATACCAGAATGACAAATAAATGGATAAGCAAAAGAAGAGAAAGAAGTCGATGTCTTTCTCTAGAGTTTTTTATAGCGGAATGGAAAGATATATATATATATTTCATATGTATATTTGAAAGTAAAAAATACATAAATAAAAATACAAAATATATATATAAAAAAAAAAACAAAACAAAACAAAAAAATTTAAAAGTGATTTAAAAAAAAAAAAAAAAAACAAAATAAAAATCAAAAATTTAAAAAAAAAAATGCAATACATCATCAAATTATATACATTTATTTATAAATACATACAAAATAATTTTATATAATAATAATAAAACAATAAATATTTATTCCTATTTGTAGAAAAACTATCAATTATAAATTTTTTTATTATATAAGTATTTATTAAAATTTAAATGTAATAAAATACAAATGAAAATAATAATACTGAATGGCATAAAACATAAAGTATTATTATCTAATAGAAATATCTCTGGATTCTACAAAAAGTATTATAATGAAAACTAAAGAATATATGCTTGTATATTTCCAATTTTTGTTTTAAGTATTACAAGCAGAAACATTTTAAAAATATCAATAAAAATCAACATTCAATTTTCGACTGTATAAAAATAAACTTGGATTCAAATTGAAACACTTGAAATTGCGCTTAGTTGCCAAATGTTAGCAAATGCAATTGGTACCCTCAACACAATTCGGATATATAAACCAATTAAATCAGATCATTAAGCAACAAACTGTGTGTGCGTGTGTGTGTGCGTGCATTCCATTCTAAAGCACGAGCGGATTTATGGCAGGCCAAATGGCCTGAATGAACAGACAAATGAAATGAAAACCGAACAGTCAGTGGGTTAGTGGGCAAAGCTCTCTGTCCATGGATAAGCGGGCCATACGCAACGGGCACAGGGTATATTGAACAATTGCAACTGGAATTATAATAAAAGAACAATCGCCCATAACAATGGAGCTGGTTGCAGTTTTCATTATTGTATTGCTACCTTGTTTGCTTGAATCGGCATTAATACGGGCTAATTAAACAAATAATGGGTGTGAGTGTGAGTGAGTGTGAGTGTGTGTGCATCATATGGCTTATATCAACAAACGGCATCGATGACACCAGAAGGCAATGTTGAACAACATAATGCGATAGACACCACTCAAATGAGCAACACTGAGCGAGCGCGAGCCGATGGATGGCAAGGGATGGGGCGAATGGGGCAAACAGACGGACGGGGTGTGTGTGCCATGTGTGGCATAAATTATGCGGCAGAATTTTGCATGCGTTGCATTTTACAGCGCATAATTTGCATTTTTAAGCATTTTCACAGTGCATTGGGCATAATTAAAAGCGACGGCAAACGGGGACAGCGCGCCGGCTGGAATGTACTTTTTCGGTTTCATTTCGGTTTTTTTTTTTTTGTTGGTCCTGAGTGTGTACACACTGAAATGCAATTAAGCCAACAACACATCAGGTGGGCGAGGGCATGGGCGTGTGTGGAGCGAGCAAAACTGTTAAACTGCTCAAGCTGCTCACCTTAAAGATTACACAGTTGACTAAGCGAAAGGCTGGGCCCGCCCGAGCTCTGAGGTCTGAGACTTGGCAGCTGCTGGTTGGGTGGGTAGCTGGCGCACTTAACAAATTAATGTCAAGCCACAATAAAAGTCAACAGCTGGTTTGGCTTGCGGCACAGCCAAAGGCTGGGCGGAGGCAGCTCAGGTGAAAGCATAGTTGAGTGCAATGTCATGCTGAGACTTAGTGAGAGTTTGGGCCGAATAGTGGGCGGGACGTAACGGGACGTGGCGGAGATAGCTGGGAAAGCGCGTGCAGCCAAGAATGGCAAACGGAAGCTCTCCCACTCGCAAAGCAACATTTACAAATGCACACACACACACACACACACACTCACGCACACTCAGGCAGCGGCAGGCACTCGCGCATGTTTAAGCGCCCGAGATTTTGCGCTTGACATATAATCTTTATGTTGCCATTCGCTTTGCCTGTTATGTGTCTGTCCGTCTCTCTGTCTATCTCTATATCTGTGTGTGTGTGTGTGTGTGTGTTGCATCCTTGCGCATCCTGCGCAAATGGCAAAAGTTTTGCCCAGCACGCAGCACTTGCTCAACTTTTGATGGCTGAGGTGTGAAATTTACGAGTTGTGCGTTTCGCGAGTCCAAATAGGCGTATAATTATTGCACACATACATATGCAGATGCACGTACGCACACACTTACAACAGCGCCTTAAGATTAGAGCTTGCTTTTCTTTAGAAATTCATTGAAATTATGGCAGAGGCAGAGAGGGTTGGTTAATATAAATATAAATATAAAGGCTAAGCAAAATTATACATATATGTAGATGCATTCATATGTTGCACTCTTTTATTTTAATATACTCCATAGCTTATATCTAGCATAAGCTTATATAATATTTAAATTATAATTATATATAACCAAATCCGTTAAAGCTGAATCTAAAGTATTTCAATGTGTTTTACAAAAATTTATGCCTTCAGGCTACGAATGTTCTTCACCTTAAAAGGTTTCAAGGATCAAGAGTTACAAACGTATTTATAGAAAATATCGTTGCATAAAATATCAAAGAAAAAATCACTACATAAAATATCATTAAATTAGGTGATTAATAATTGAAATTAATTTTTTATTAGATTTATAAAGATCATGAAATTTCATCTATATATGCACATATTTGTGGCATCCTTCATGTCCAGTTCCGTAAAACTTTGTGCATATATATTTACTGCTGAGTGGAATTTCATGAGCTTGACCTCCTGCGCCAAAATTCATGCATATGCCGTTGCGGCTGCTCCAAATGAACTTCCTGGCCAAGCTGCAGACGGAAAAACAACTTCACGGTATTTGTAGCCGGCCACAATGATGCAAGAGTGAGAAAGAGAAAGAGAGAGGGAGAAAGATAGATGCAGAGACAGTAGAATAGAGCAAGAGTGAGACACCGCGACAGAGAGTACCGAAAAAATGCAGTTAAATGAGCGGAAATGCAAAATTAACTCGCTGCGAAAGCGTAGAACAAACAAAGAAATTGTTGTACAACTAAAAAAAAACACACAAACGAAAAAATAAAATAAATAAAAAGAAGACAATGTAAAAGCGAAGTGAAGAGGAAATAGAGTAAAATAATGGCAAGTGGAGTGGCAAAGGAAATTCAAGTAGCGCAAAAAACAAGTCCGAATAAATGTTGCCACTTGGCCAAATTTAATGCAAATATTTGGCCAACCGCAAAAGCCTCGCGGAACAAAAGCAAATTTAAGTGCAGCAGAACTTTGCTGCAGTCGAACAGGGCATACGATGTGCTTATCGATGAGGCGAAAACAAACTTTGATCATGGGCATAAATAGGATTTCTTCTGTTGAGTATATATCAGGTTTGTTTGTGTAAAATTTATATTCTTTTTAAACGAAATTACTTAAAGAACAACCCAATATAATTGACTCTAACTACTATGGGAGATATAAACTGCTTAGTTCTTTGTGAAGGCTTTGTTTGCCTTGCAAAGTCTCACTAATTTATTTCCAAGATCTGATAACACTCTAACATTATAGCTCTGTTCCATTCCATTCCAAAGATCTCATAACACTTTAACATTATAGCTCTGTTCCATTCGATTCCAAACTTAGCTTAGGCTCTTCGAAGATCTGCAAAAGTTAATACTCTTGAACTCATTCGCTATTATTATCGATGGCGAGCAAATTTCGTAAAGCTGCTCAATGGTTCCTTAAGCTCTTGTTGCATTTTGCAAATACTAATCAGATTGTTCTCAGCTATGCATACTCATACAACTCTTAGAGCTGGGTCTCTATCAGCTTTACAGCTTCACTTGCATCAAAGTCCACTCCAAAAACTGCCAGAGCTGATACTCTTCCAATCATTTCACCTAAGTAGTTCTCTCTCATTTAGTTCGTTCAGCAAGCAGCAGCTCTATAAGAAAATCTACCACAACATCTGCCCTCTGCATTTATAGTACCTCGTGCGTGATACTCTCATGTCTCTAATTATACTATACTCAACTTATGCATATCACAAATAAGCTCCCCTAATATTGATTTCAAGCCTCGATTAGGCATTGTCTTTTCCACATCAATTTAGACAATTTATGTTTACATTTTACGCTAACATTCCGGCAAGTGAATCTGAATTGTTATTGCACTTGACACGTAAGCCAGCCCCGCTATATGCACGTCTGGCCCCAAGGCAACTGACCCTCTCGGCCCTGTCGCCTTCTCACCCTGCCTCTGTTTGGCCATTATCTGTATATTTGCCAAGGTAACGAGCAGTTTAGGCCATACAATTTGCAGCGACAAACCTCGCAATCGCTTAAATCGCAATCCCCTCTCGCTCTCTCTCTCTCTCTCCCTCTGTCACTCTCGCTCATTTTCGTGCTCCATTTTTCGCTAGCAAAAGGGTCTTTTCAGAATATCCCTAAATGTTGAGCTAGATAAATAGAAAATGAAAATGGTAAATGATTTATTTTGCAGCGCGTATCTTTAGCTGCTGACGCACTTGTCCTTATTTGTACTGAACGAAAATTGTATTTAATTGTCAGGCTAACAATTGTCATAGCGAAAGAATGAGGGATGTACAGAGAGAGAGGGCGAGAGAGAGGGAGACCGAGTGGAGGACTCGTAATTTAAACAAACATTTCCACAGCGCCCAATGAAAATGACAATAAAAATAGCATCAAATTTATGGCATACCAAACGAAACGGAATGGAACGAAAAACGAGTCCAATGGGCAGGGCCGACCCTTCTCGCCCACACCCACACCCACACACACACA